TCTTTATACCTTCCATATTATATTAAGATTAATGTATTCTCTGGTTTTTACGCTTTACTATTGCTACAATTTTCTTTGTCTGGTCAAACTGCACCTTCAGTCAAGGCAGCTTAACGTTTTCTATGCCTTTCAGGTGAGTGAGATTAACCGGTCTGGCTTCTATCAACATGTCTGCGTCGATCTAGACCTCTGCAACTTGGCTGTAAACACTTTGCTTATGGCTAGCCGTGTGCCAGAACTCGAGGGTGCTAGTGTTACGTTTGACACTCTGTCCTCTGAAGATCGACCTCTCGATGTCCAGCTTACCGACATCTCTGGTGGTCTTAATCTGGGCGCAAACATCACCAGTTATGATGAAACGGCTGCATCAGGGGCTGCATTTCGTGTACTTCGGTCAGTTAAGTCTGTACATCTCTACTTGACTTACTTTTTGAGCCTGCCACCTTTATTTCCCACATATGCCTAAATTGTTTTAGTATAGGAGCTGTCTTAGTTAACATATTCATTATTTTATTGTCGAATTATTTTAGCTTATTTATTCGATCTACTATATTCATTTCGATTTTAGCTTCTCATGACTACAAGCTGCTATTCAAATTTCCAGTTTAACTTCAATCCTGGATTTACGCTGTATTTGGGTGTTTTTATTTACTGAGACTTGTTTGAGTATGTATTCACTTTCAATTTGGGAATAGGCAATTTGGTTGGTTCGGGCAAATGTTTCCTTACCTCTTATTATAAACTTTAATCCATTTAGACTTAATCTTTCTTGTAATGGGATGTATTCACCCTGTTTCGTGTCTCGAAACCCTACTCATTTATTAATCTCTCTTTCCTTTATCTTATGTTATTTTGATGCATTTCAAGCTCAATGGTTGCTGGCTGGGTGAAGGATGTGACTCACTATGGCAATGCTCTTGCCGATGAGCAAATCGTACATTTCTACCAATGGCTCCGTTCACCTCGTTCTCTCCTCTATGATCCTGCACTCAGGCGTAGCCTACAGAAACTTATGAAAAAGGTGAGTCGGCTTGATATACTATTGGCCAACATGCAGATATTTTGTGGCTAGCTTATATAGATAGTGTGGAAAAATATATTGTTGGAGAGTCTTTCACTTCGTATGAAAGTACGTGAAGAAGAGATTCAAAGGTCGATCATATCAGAAGACGCCTGCTGATTTCCGATGTACTAAAGCCATTAGGCTTTAATACGATGCTCGGGTTGACGTAGTCCATGAGATATCCTCCCCCGCTAAACGGGCTGAGCTTTCGCCCATTATATCATAACATAATCAGAGCTGAAATCATTCTTGTAAAAGTCTTATTAACACTAGGTCAAGAAGACTGTCTGGCTCTCTTACCTCTACTACTTGGATCACACTCCCAGCATAGTAAGGGACGATGGAAGAGATAAACGGTGGGGAGCATGAATTGGTTTCACTAAACACGCTCAAAAGGGCACACCAGAACCAAGCTTAAATAAGCAAGTAAGAAATTGAGATAGTAAAAGGGTGTTACGAGGAAATAGGATGGATTAATACATCAAGACAATTGTTTAACAGACAATTGGTCAAAGGATCGACTTCACTCGTCTCTGATGAGTTGTAGTGTCGTGCTAGGAATGGCAAGGGCCACTCTTGGGGATGTATCAAGTCTACGGTCCGACGCTGGAAATTACCATGCATAATATGGGCCCTGGACAAGTGCGTCAATACGACCAAATTGCGAAAACAAATTCAAACAACATATAAAAACTGGGTTTCGAAGGTTCCTTTAGTGGATTGATGTTGGAGTATCTTGAATTTAGTTTGAAGAGGCGAGCGGAAGGGATTTGTAAGTTGGCCCCACCGGAGGCTATAGGGGGATTGCCTTGGAACTGTGTTTGTAGATTTCTGTGAAGGATTCATTAGGGTCGCAGGGAGGTGCATCGAGTACCTATTCCCACAAATCTACAATCACAGATCCTAGGCACTCCTCCTCTTCAAATGAAATGAAAGGTACTCCAACAGCAATGTCAAACTACTTCTATACAACCAAAGGAGACCGCAATCATACTAAAAGCAACATAATCTTGCTCTTCATACCTTCGATCATATAATCATTTTTAATTTTATGGTTGAAATCGTGTAGGTATTGGAGACTGCCTGGTTAAGTTTCTTTAAGGTTTTGTTACCACGGTTTAAAACACTTTATATTTCGTCCTTTGTCGCCTTCAATTAGCCTTATTTTCGCTATTTACTTTCATACTTCTATGTTTTTTTTCTTTGCCTTCTCTTCAAATCCCAATCCTCAGGTTTATGTCAAGCTGGTGGATGAGTTGCGCCATCTGCATGTGGATGTCTTGCATGCAAGTTTTAACCGACTCGTTGTCTGCTCTAGACGTACTGATTTGGCTAGTGCACTGGCACGTGTTGATAACCTCACTCGCTTGTTGCGCGGCCAACCTCTGTTTTCCCGACTTGACATACAATACGCCAACAGCTGGCGTCGCCTGATTTGGATGGATCAGGCTAACTATGCCGGAATTAAGGTAAATTGCTGGTGAGAATATTTGATAACTGGAAGATGGTTGACCTTTGATCTAAGAGAAATTTTCTGCTCCTTTTTTTTCTGGAGTGTCCACTGACTCAATGCTTCTGACCATTTTATTTATCATACAATGGTGAAATTATCATATTTAGCAAAGCGCTGAGGTTAAGACCACCTTTCTATGTTCTATCTCCCACACATTCTCTAGATTCTTAAACCTTATTAGATGATGAATATAAAGATCAAGATTCTGTGGTTTTTTACTTAGTAAAACTCTCCTTTATTTGTATAATATTTGTTTAAACTCATTTTAACAAATTGGTCGTTGCGATAGAGCCCTTGCACAACATACCTAGTCCTGCGTTCTCTGTCCTCGAGCATTCATGATGCTTCCACTATCTGACCGTTGACTTGGCACATTTCCAGACGTTTCGCCGGCATCGTAGTCGGCTTCATCACTGAGAAGTGCCATCATCAACACGGAGTTACAACTTACCAAGGTGGAAAGCGAAGCCAATCCCTTTGACCAATTGTCCGTTTAACCGTTGGAGCATCGCTCATCGCCCCTATTTTTTTGTTCTAACTTTAAGTGCTGCATCTATTTATCTCAACCCCACTTCGTCTGGCGCATCTGCTTATTTGCATAATTTTGGGCCCTCGGTTCCTCCAATGTCGCCTGAGAATATACTTCTTCATATGGATTAGTGAAGCATAATCATCTTCACCACCAGTTTCCTATGAAGTTTGTGGAGCTTCTGACTTTCATCTAGTCCCTCTCCACCCGCTCCTAAGTTGTTTCCTGTTACACAAAAATCACCATCTTGTTGTCTGATATTTGGCATCCTACGCGTCTTCAATTCCAGTCCCCGTTTACGTCTTATTTGACGATTTAAAGTCGGTGATTCTCATGTGTAGGCATGAGACCTCAAACCCATAACCCATTTATTCTCTTACTCATCCACACAACAATTGTATCTCATCCCTTGCGACCCTGCATCTGGCTTTAGTCGGAACCGTTGGTGTGAAAATGGACAGTTTCCCTTTTCCATTCCTGAATTGCCTAAAGCACATCTCTTTTGTCTCAAGTTGATAGTATCACTTTATCCTTAGGTTTTAGTCAGTTGTTAAGGTGTACGTTGTTTGGCATCCTTCCTAGTCAGAGATGTCACTATTCTCCTCTTATTAATGTAAAAACACGAAAAAATGCACATAAGCATACACATACACACACACTGGAGACTAATTGATGTTGTGATCCACAGCTAGATTTCCATATCGGTATGAATTTGTTAGAGCCCTATATATTCAGCCTAGCACATCTAATAGTGTATAATCTGCATGTTTCTGGCCTTTTCAAGCTGATTCTAGCTTTCACTCCTCGCTGCAAACGCCTTTTCTTTATTTCCTTTTGCCCCTAATGATCCCTGCGATGTTTCTTCGTGTTATTAAATATATGTCCTTTGTCAAAGAGCCTTCTTTAAGCTGTGCTTGCTGAATATCTAGATTTACCTAGACAGTACGCGAAATTCCATCTTCCAATCTCT